CGTTATACCTTTTTTTTTCATGTATAAACACCATTTTGAAGATCACGTTGTATTGCAAATACGATCGATTGATTTAATATTTAAGGGGGGGGGTTATATATACCTTATAAACAGTCCATCACTTATTATAAATTAAGTATTTGTTGTAGAGATGTTTCACAGGAGTATTACTCAAATGTTAATAAATTTTCTTTGTAATTTTTGAGCATGAGAACAACTGAAATTTATTAAAAGTTTTTATTCCCTCTGAAATAAAGCAAAATACTAGAGTTTGGCCCGTTACGAAAAGTTTATTGGTTTTAAGTCGTGTTTAAATACGTGGTATTTTGGCAAAGTTTGTTCTCGTTGGAGTTCTAGTATATTGAATAATTATCTTAACTATCGTATTTTTTTCTGTTGTTAATATTTACCATTAAGTAAAGCCGTTATGTTTAGATATGCTTCGTTGATAATAGAATTTGAATTAGTTTAACTACAATTTACAAACCTTGCAGCGTACTTCCACTTATGACCCGACACTCCAAACGTACTGCCACAATTAAAACCCAACCAGCCCCACCTGTTGGAAGAGCCAATAAAAACAGAGGGTTCGCATATCTATATATAAACATGATCACACACACGTAAAATAGAGAAGAAATGATATAATGATCGAAATTTAAAAATACCGCCCAAACCAAACACACATATAGATAGGTAGATATAAATGTTCGTTTGCATTTATGGAAAAGTCACTAAGGCTATTTACTTTCATTTTTAACTATTGACTAGAGGGAAAGCAGCCAGTTAGCAGTACCCTACCATCTACTCTAAGAAATTAACTGTCAGGTGCGTACTAATGTCTGGTGTGGCCTGGTGGTCAGGGCACTGGACTCGTAATCTGTGGGTTTCGGTATCGAATACTGTCACCAAACATATTCGCCCTTTCAGTTATAGGGGTGTTATAATACGTTAGTTAATCCCACTATTCGTTGGTAAAGAGTAGCCCAAGAATTGGTGATGGATGTGGTTGACTAGCTGTTAGCCCTCGAGTAGCTTTGCACGAAATTTGACAAACATAACGCACACACAGCTGTAAACACGGGGATATTTGGCGAATGTAACGGATTCGAAACTGGGGAATAGTAAATGCTAAAATAATTGTAGTTAATTCTATTGATTGTTAAAAAATCATGGAGTAAAGGGAAAAGTGCTGTCGTATTTGTAACTTTGTGCCATTTATATTTCTAAGGAAACTGGTTATTAACTTAATTTTAAAAAATGGATATTATGAACTGATATTTGTTTCCGAAAAGTCTCTGATTAACAGGCCCGGCCTGGGCCAGGTGGTTAGGACGCTCGACTCGCGGCTCGCATCCCCATCTCACCAAACATGCTCGCCCGCCCCCACGGCTGAAAGTTATAATGTGACGATCAATCCCACTATTCGTTGGTAAAAGAGTAGCCCAAGAGTTGGCGGTGATGACTAGCTGCCTTCCCTCTAGTCTTACACTGCTAAATTAGGGACGGCTAGCGCAGATAGCCCTCGTGTAGCTTTGCGCGAAATTCCAAAACAAACAGCTATGAACGGAACGCGAAATAGCGACTCGCAAATAAACATTTAAACTCTCGACCAGAGATGCAAACGCTTCCGATTCTTTAAGCCCAGTGGCGGCTAGCTGTTCTATTTTCTTTCCCAAGCGTCATTAGTTCTCGCCTTTTGTGAAAAGGTTTGTCGGCTTCTCGTCTCAGCAAACACTGGAGTGTATTTTGAGTACCCATATTTTGATTTGTTTGTTTATTTGTAGCAAGCACAAATATGTAGGGCATGGCATGGCCTGGTGGTTAAGGCGCTCGATTCGTGGGGAGTTGGTAAACGAGTAGCACAAGAGTTGGCGGTGAGTGGTGTTTATTAGCTACCTTGCCTTCTAAATTAGCGCTGATAGCCCTTGAGTAGTTTTGCGCGAAACTCAAAACAAATAAACCAAACATATAAAAATATATAAAATAATGGTGACCTTCTGTTCCTCAAACAGTACTTTTTAAAATGTCTGGTTTCAATCCCCACTTCAGGTTCTAGAATGATGGCTTTCAAAGTCTCACTTTTTCTGTCTCGGGCTGCATTGTTCGACGAATAGCAATAAATTCGCGATGTTTAAAAGGCCTGTAGCTCTCCATTTATTTAATTACCATTCCGTTGCAGAGCTGGATGGCACGTTCGCTTTTAATTAAATGGTCTGGAGTCGTGTTTTCTTGTACACAATTGTGACTTCACCACCTGCCTAGCACAAACGTTGAACGAGAGAAAAAAAAAATCAAGATTTTTTTTTCACATTATTAGTGATGTCACTAAAAACTTTTATAGATTCTATTTTATTGGTTCTTGGCCACAGTTTCTGACCGTTAAATAAAAGACAAAACTTTGCAATGATATTCAAAAAAGTTACTCTGTCTAAATTATGTTTTGATAAATTAAGTTTTCGTTTTGCATATGGAGGAAATATACTGTGAGCTAAAACTTAATTTTTCTCAGTGTAGTTATAGGTGTATATCTTGAGGATATATACATCTGACGGTCTGGTATGGATGTATACTTTGGAGATACACGTTTTGGATTTGGTAGGGGGTGTTTATTCTAAAGATATACGAGTTCGATGTGATATGGATGTATATTTTGAAGTATGTACGTCTGACGATCTGTTATGACTGTATACTTTCAAGTATGTGCGTCTGACGATCTGTTATGAATGTATACTTTCAAGTCTGTACGTCTGACGATCTGTTACGAATGTACACTTTGAAGTATGTACGTCTGACGATCTGTTATGACTGTATACGTTGAAGTATGTACGTCTGACATTCTGTTATGAATGTATACTTTGAAGTATGTACGTCTGACGATGTGATATGGATGTATACTTTCAAGTATGTACGTCTGACGATGTGATATGGATGTATAATTTGAAGTATGTACGTCTGACGATCTGTTCCGAATGCATACTTTGAAGACGTCTGACGATCTGTTATGACTGTATACTTTCAAGTATGTACGTCTGACGATCTGGTATGAATATATACTTTCAAGTATGTACGTCTGACGATCTGTTATGACTATACTTTGAAGTATGTACGTCTGACGATCTGTTATGACAGTATACTTTGAAGTATGTACGTCTGACGATCTGTTATGACTGTATACTTTGAAGTATGTACGTCTGACTATCTGCTCGAGTTTCGAATAACTTGGTCTATCAAAATAAACCTAAATGAATTATAAAATTAGTAGTCGTGATTACGAATAGAATTAAAGTTTAAGTACTTGCATCATTTAAGGGAATGACTGGCTATTTAAATAAATTCACTTGCTTAGTTATCTATGAAAACCAATGAGTTAAGTTGACCTGCTCTGAAAAGCTCACAATGAGCCATGCTCCGGAGTGTTTTTGTATAGAAAAGTTATTTTCAAGAACATACGATCTGGTGTAACTACAGCCATGATGTATATGTATGGTAGTGTGGTATAAGTATAAAACTACTCCAGGTGTAACTACAACCATGATGTATATGTATGGTAGTATGGTATAAGTATAAAACTACTCCTGGTGTAACTACAACCATGATGTATATGTATGGTAGTGTGGTATAAGTATAAAACTACTCCTGGTGTAACTACAACCATGATGTATATGTTCTGTAATTTTAATGCCATTACGTTTGTTATACCAAGGCCCTGATATTATTACAATAAGCTGTTTGGTTTGCGAAATACACAAATGTGTTCTTGAAGTATATGCATTCTCTGCACTTACTTGTTTTAATGCAATGTAGAAAGTGGTATAAATATAAAACTACTCCTAATGGCAGTGTGGTATAAGTATAAAACTACTCCTGGTAATAGTGTGGTGTAAGTGTAAAACTACTTCTGGTGGCAGTGAGGAATAAGTATAAAACTAGTCCTAGTGGTAGTGTGGTATAAGTATAAAACTACTCCTGGTAATAGTGGATATAAGTATAAAACTAGTCCTAGTGGTAGTGTTGTATAAGTATAAAACTACTCCTGGTAATAGTGGATATAAGTATAAAACTAGTCCTAGTGGTAGTGTGGTATAAGTATAAAAACTACTCCTGGTGGCAGTGAGGTATAATTATAAAACTACTCCTAGTGGCAGTGAGGTATAAGTATAAAACTACTCCTGGT